TTTGTCTGTGGGTCTCTGAAAGAAGGCAAATAAATGAGCTTTGTAGGTGGTTTGTGTGCGGGGCTCCCACATAAATCTTGGCCATTTAATTTCTTTTTATTTTTTATTTTTTAATTTTTTTTTCATGGTGTAATGTTCTTTATTTTTTATTTTTTTCTTTGATATTCTTTTTTTTTTATATTAGTGAAACACCATGAGGTACAGTTGTAGATTTACAATTTTTTGTGCTTGGGTTTCGATTATACAATGATCAGATACCCGTCCCTCCACCAGTGCCCATTTTCCACCACCATGGATAATATTCCCCCACCCCCATCCCCCCATCCCCCCCTGCCTCTGTGGCAGGGCAATCCCCTGTGTTCTCTTTCTCCTTTTGGGTGTTGTGGTCTGCAAAAGAGGCATTGAGTGGCAAACATGTTCAGTCCATAGTCTACTTTCGACATGCATCTCCCCTCATTGGCCATTTAATTTCTTGGTAAACTTGGTCCTAAGTTATTGGGGTCTGGCCAAAGGCACAGTGGCAATTTTGGGGTGTCAGGGAGCCTGAAGGCACATCAGTCTGCTGATGCACTCGCCCCGCAGGTACAGGTTGACCTGCTGGCAGCACCATACTCCTTTTTTTTTTGTATTTCCTACCTTAAAACTCTTCTCATCCTAAGCTGAAGGCACAAAATAACATTTTCAAATTGACGAAAAAGTCAGTATGAAAAATGCGACCATTTAAAATGATTACAACCAATGATTGTTGGTTTTTTGTTGTTGTTTGTTTTCTTGGTGGGGCTGCACCTGCTTCTGAGGATTTGCTACTGGATTTGTGCGTAGGGATCCATCCTGGTTGGGCTCTGGGGACCATATGTAGTGCCAGGAATCCAACTCCAGTGACCATGTGCAGTGCAAGTGCCCTGCCCGCTTTACTTTCTCTCCAGCCCTGGTGGGATTTTGTAAATTAATTTCAGTTAGCATGTTGAGATTTTTCTTCCTTTCTCTAAAATTTTAAAAAAATTGAGGCATGATGACCTTGAACCCTCTCATCTTTTATAAGTGTGCTAACAGCTTTGCATTAAACGGGTCATTTTTACCATTTAAAAAAAAACCCTCTGAGGAACAATGGTTTACAGTAGAATGAATATTAGTGTTTTATGCTTGGAACACTACTGTACTACTCCCATCACCCCTAGTGTCAGTATTTCTCTGCCGTTGTCCCAAGTTCACTGTCCCCAGCCCCCCAGCCTCGGGTCTCAATTCTGTTCTTATGGTTCGTTTCCATTGGGCACTGGAAAGGCACATTTTTTATTGCTGAGAGAATATGGGCAAAAGAAGAGTTCTTTATTGTTTTCCCCACATAATTTCGTATAGCTTTTATTAACATTCTTGTGTTACAAGAAGGAAAGGAGTAGGATGATATTGACAATGAATGTGAATGTACATAATTATAATTCCCCTGTCTTTCCTACTTGTGTATTTTTTAAATTGGGAAAGGGCATTTGAAATAGGAGACCCTTTGTCCATGTTGGATGACAATTTTGTGTAGAAAAGCATATTTGGGGTAGGGTAGGGGTAGAATAATTTCACTTTCAAAAATAAAATAGTTCTGCTGTATTATAGCTGTCATCTTTTCTAGATGAGTTTTAAAATGTTGACACTCAGAATACACATAGGTCTGATTTCACATTAAGGAGTTTTTTCTCCTGCTCATTACTCTACATAGAACTTTTTTGACAAAGGTTTCGAAACATCCAGGTTCGTCATGATTACTTGAGACAGTTCTGTCCTAATACATTAATACTTACATTCTTTCAAACCAAATTTTTGGACCATATAAACCATATTCTTAGATTGAGAACTTTTAAACATAAATGTAGGGTTAGTTAAAGCTAAAATAGTGGGCATGCAACATCTAATGTTTAATTCTGCTTATTTTCATTTTTACTTAGTAATACATATATCTTCTGATGTTCTGCTTCTGTTAAGTGGGAGTACTTTGTCACACTTTCAGAAATCCTTAATGTTAAATTTAGAATGTTTATATGTAGTCCCTGAATTTTAATTAGCATGAAAGAATTATAGCTGTTGAGGAATTTGGTGATTTGAATGTTTTTCTTTGGGGAAGAACAAAGAAGCCTTGCCCTACACTGGTTTTTATTATTCATTGTGACCTTTGATTTTATGATATAGAAGTTCCTTGATTTCTGCTTTTAGATCATGACTATGCCCGCACCATGATTAGATACCCCAAATCATTACATAGGTAAATTATTACACAAAGGGGATTGATTTGTGAATTTTGTTGATCTTTTACACTATTTTTAGTGCAACTAAGAGTTAATGTTTTTGATTACTTTAATAGATGAAGGGCTGGAGCGATAGCACAGCGGGTAGGGCGTTTGCCTTACAAGCGGCCAACATGGCCGACCCGAGTTCGATTCCTCCGCCCCTCTGGCAAGCTACCGAGAGTATTCGATATGCCAAACACAGTAACAACAAAGTCTCCAATGGAGACGTTACTGGGCCCGCTTGAGCAAATTGATGATCAACGGGAGGGCCTTTACCTTTACCTTTACCTTTTAATAGATGAAAAATATATATTTTCCAACCTCTTTTAGATTCCCTTTATTTGCTTATATTTCAGACTCTTTTGCTACCTTCTATTCCTTAACCATATATGGACGTTATCCATTTTTGTAATTTTCTTGACTGTTCTTTAATGATAATAGTAGTATAGGTTTTTCGTATTTGTAAAATGAAACTCAGTTTTACTGAGTTTTCTTTGTCAATAATTATTTACAATATTTCTTTGTAAATAACTTAAACTACTCAATCCCTTGGAGTAGTTAAAAAGTCAGGACTGTGGATTTGGTAGAAAAAAGATGCTACCATGCTGTAGTCATTATTATTTTTTATTTTTTACAGTACTTTAGTGGATTGAACTTAACCTTGCTAGGCATGCTCTTTATCCCTGAGCCATGTCCCTGACCCTACTACAGTGAAAAAGATATTTCATTTACTGGCTGAAAAGGTAGAAGAAAAAGGTAGAAGGAAGAACAGAGCATGAAAGCCTTCTTAACAGTTTATAAGTATCCCATAAAATTGACTGTTGAACATTCGCCAGAGAATAATTTGGAGGCACTCTGCATTCAGAAATTAGGGAAGAGAGTCCGTTGGCAAGTGGGTGCCCTGGGAAATTTGGTTCTCACGTTCTGACATAGAATCATTTGATTAATCTAAGTTATACTTACGGAATATCATTGCATCATTACATTAGTTTGTAGAAAGAATTGGTGTTACTATACACTGAGTTTTCAATCACTAAACATAGCAAATCTAATTTTTATTGTGGGGAGTGGACTGCAACTTCCAGTGCTCAGTGACTGCTCCCAGCTCATTGATTTGAAGGGGAGTTGGGGGTGGGGAGCGGCTGTGTCTGGTGGTTCCAGAGATCAAACCTGGGCCTCTTGCATGCAGTCTCAAATGTCTGGCTCATTTCATATTATATCTAGTTTTGTATATCTTCTGTGAGAACTGGGTTGATGAGAATGAGCCCAAGTTTGAATATCGCCAATTTCTACTTTATGTTTCTGAACATAACATAATAAAGAGGAATGATAACTAAGAATTACAGTTGGAAAAATCAGAATCATAATTCATGGTGTGAAAATATGAAGTTGTTACATAATGTCCATAGATAAAATTTTATGGGAATAAAACTTTATGTTCAGGCGAGTATGTGACTGCTTTTGCCCTACAAACAGCAGAATTCGTTGTTGTAACACATTGTCTGAGCCAAAAATCTTAAAATATACTCTGTTCTCCTTTAAGAAATGTTTCCCCATCATTGACATAGAATTATCATTTGTCTTATTGTTTGTCTATGTATATTAGGTTTTCTTTATATATATATATATATATATATATATATATAATTTTATTTATTGAATCACCGTGAGAGCAGTTACAAAGCTTTCGGGTCTAAGTCTTGGTCATATAATGAAACACCCGTACCTTCACCAGTGCCTATTCTCCACCACCAAAAACCCCATTATACCCTCATCCCACACCTTCCCCCTACCTGTGGAGCAGATGATTTTCACATTACCCTCTCTCTACTTTGGTCACATTCAATATTTCGACACCAGACCCACCATTATTATTTGAGATTTTACCCCAACACTCAGATCTGCTGAAAAAGCAACAGTAGACAATTTGTGTTCTATTGCTGGTTATGAATAACATGATGTCACATGGCTGCAGTAGGGCCATGTGATTTTGAAATTCCGAAATTTTAACACTTAAATCTGGAGGGATTTCTGCCAAGAACCACTGGGTTTTGAGATTTGCTCCTGAGTCTCTGGGATCATGGTCGTTGAGCAGCTTGATCAGGAGCCAGAGAGGCTGTTTGTGGGCGATGACTTGGGGTCTCATTGGAATGGGGAGACCAGGACCGGCTCCATCCCCATCCTGTGAGGCCCAACAAGTTTTGTAACTGTGGGCCCAGACCTGACTGTCCAATGGCTTCTGGAGGATGACGGCCACCGAGCCACCAAGGGGGAGCAGGTGGAGGGACAACAGCCTTTCCCCCCTGGGGTGGCCCAGCGACAGTCGCCTACTACGGGGTCCGGATGCATTTCTGCCAAAAGCTGCTGGGTTTCGAGATTTGTTTCTGAGACTCTGGGATCATGGCCATTAAGCAGCTTGATCAGGAGCCAGAGAGGCCGTTCGTGGGTGATGACTTGGGGTCTCGGGGTGGGGACGACAGTCTTAGGTTTTCTTTATGTGTTGAGGTAGAGATGGTGTTTCACCCCCCTTTTATTTACCTTCATTTGTGGTTCTGATAAGATTTAAACTCACGAATGTTAAAGTATATTGTACTCTTTAGATAAGTATTGGGAGAGAAATTGGTTAGAACTATTATTTTGTAAAATTAGCACTGTGTGTGTTTTCATTTTTATTTGATACTTGCACTGTAACTTAATTTGCCTGTTTTCGGATTTTCTTACTGATAGGAAATTAAGAAAGAGACAGAATCTAAGGATGACAATTTGCCCATCAAGCGGGAACGGCATGGGAATGTAGCGAGTCTTGTACAGCGAATAAGCACCTACGGTCTTCCAGCTGGAGGAATTCAGCCACATCCACAAGCCAAAAACATTAAAAAGAGTATGTAGACTATTCCTTAACTGTTGAGTTGAAATAAAATAGAATGTTTCGTAAGCATTCATAAATCACAATAAGAAAAATTAGCTTGATATTTTATAACAGACGGCAGTTACTTCCTCCTTATTCTCATGTATCACGTTGTTGGCTCGTGCGATTGTTATCTTTATATGATAATTCATTGTGAACTACTGACAACTGAGGAAGTAAAATAAAAAATGAATATATATTACCCTGCTACCCGTGACGTATTCGATATGCCAAACAAGTGTCACAGTGGAGACGTTACTGGGCCTACTCGAGCAAATCGATGAACAACGGGAGGACAGTGACAGTGAATTTGGGTTTAGTTTTTGTGATGTGGGGAGGTGAATATACAGTCTGTTGTGTATGGGGGGTTGCATGGGGGTTGCTCCCAGCAGAGCTTTGGGAATCATGCAGTGCATAGAAAGGATGTGATCTGGTCCTTTGAGTCATCTCCCAGACCTACTTTTATTCTTAAATCCCTCCACCCTCCCAGTTCCCATTGTTGTTTGTTGATAACATTATTTTTGTGATGACTAGGATTTGCACAGTGCTGGCTTGGTGCGTGTACAGTTTTAGCTATGGCCCTCACTGGTTGCATATGAGGTTTCCATGCATGCACACTTAGCTGCTGTGTTTACTGAGGTTTCACTCCTTGAGCTGTGGTACCTGCACACGTGACATGATGTTCTCTTGGGGTCATGCTCTTAGTTGAAAGACACAAGTTATGCTTGTGATTGCTGTGGTGCTCACTCTCACTTTCCCCAGAAGTTATGTTTCCTAGTTGTGGCATTAGCTCTTTCATTGTTGCAGATCTTGCTGAGGGTCGCGAACTTTTTTGATGCTCACACACCATCTAAAATTGTGTGTGTCTGAAAATTGCTTGTGATGCCGTGGATTGTAGATAGCCGAACTGCTAGGATCAAAGAGCTGAGATTGAAACTCATGATTATTTGGTAGCAAGGCAAGTGCTCTAAGTGACTGCACTTTTTCTCCAAGCCCACCTTTAAAAATATTTATTTACTTAGTTAATTTTTATTTTGGGGCCACACCTGGCAGTGTTCAGGGATTGCTCCTGGTGGACTTAGAGGACCATCTGAAGTTGCCAGAATTGAACAACGGGTCTTACCTACTGTACCTCTGTGGCCCCATGTGATCTAAAGTCTTAAGTTTTATTTTTCTATTGGTGAGAAAGTGGTAAAAATCAAAATGCCCTCTTGGTAGTTTTTTTTTTTTTTTTTTTTTTTTGGGAAGACTACTCCGGGTCATGCTAGTGGTACTGGGGATAGGGACATTTTACTGCTGGGTGTCGAAGTAGGGACTTTTGCAAAACAAAGTATGTGTTCCAGCCCTTTGAATTATTTCCTCAGTCCCATAGTTGCTGCTGCTGCTTTTTTTTTTTTTTTGTAGGAGTACTGCTGTTTATTCAGCCACTGATTAGCTGATTGAATTGGGTATGAACTCCACCTTAATTTTTTTTTAATTTTTTCTTTTTATATTTATTTATTGAATCACTGTGGGAAAAGTTACTAAGCTTTCAGGTTTAAGTCTCGGTCATACAATGATCAAACACCTCTCCCTTCACCAGTACTCACTTTTCACCACCAAGAACTTCAAATGCCTGTGAGGCAGATGATTTCTACTTAACTCTTCTCTACATTGATTACATTCATTATTTTGAAAAAAGATGCACCATTATTGTTTAGAATTTCCCCCCAAACAGTCAGAATTGCTGAAAAGGCATTGTGAAATATTTTGTTTTCTATAGCTGGTTATGAGAATCAGATAATGTCATGTGGCCACGATTTTGGTTTTCTGCAAAGAGCCAGATGATTACAAGATTGGTTTCTGTGTGTCTGGTGTTATGGCCGTGCCAGAGAGCTGCTCGTGGGGGGTAACTCGTGACCTCGGTAGGGCGTGAAGGACGTGCTGGTACCGCCCCCCTTCCCATGAGACTGCAATTGCCTCGTCACCACCGGCTTGTACCTGGCTTTCCTATAAGCTCTGAGGTTGCAGCCACCTTGCTGCCAGGGGGGAAAAAGGCGGAAGGGAGCAACACCCTTTCCCTCCTGGGAAGGCATGGCACCGTAGTTTAACGCATGGTCCATTCACTTTTCTGCTGCAAGCTGCTGGGCTCTGGACTAAGTCCTTTTGCCTCTGGAGCCATGGCCGTGCCAGAGAGCCACTTGTGGGGGGCAACTCGTGACCTCGGTAGGGCTTGAAGGACGAGCCAGCACTGCCCCCCTTCTCATGAGGAAACAGAGAGGCCATGCCTCCAATTATATAGCTGAGCCGGAGGTGGTTCGTGGGTGTGTCTCCCACATACGTAACTTTTGGCCGTTTACTTTCTTGGTAAACTTTGCCCCAACTTTTTGGGGTCTGGCCAAAGAACACAGCAGCAATTTTGGGGTATCTGGCAGTCTGACGTTGCCATCAGGCTGCTGATTCTTTTTTTTTTTTTAAATGGAATCACCTTAAGTTAAAGTTACAAAGTTATTCATTAAGTTTCAGGCATATAATGTTCCAATACCTCTCCCTTCACCAGTTACCATTCACTCCACCAATGTCCCCAGTTCCCTTCCTACTCCTTAGCCAGCCTCTGGCAGCCGTGTTTTCCCTTCACCTTCACCGTTGTCCTGGTGTTCCCTTCCCCAGCTTCTACCCCTTCAACTCCCTCACTCCAGTGGCAAGCTTCCTACTGAGGACCAGTTTTGCCCTTTGTTTCTCTTGCCTTCAGGGCTTTGTTATTCCCTTTGAAGTTTCTTTATCCCACATAGGAGAGAACTTATTCTGTCCCTCCTCCTCCTTCATGCTTACTTCACCAAGCATGATACACACCATATCCATCTACATGGTAGCAAATTGCATAATTTTATTTATTTATTTAAAAAATTTTTTTATTAGTGAAACACCATGAGGTACAGTTGTAGATTTACAAATTTTTGTGCTTGAATTTCGGTCATACCATGATCAAATACCCATCCCTCCACCATTTCCCACCACCACAGATCCCAGTATCCCTCCCACCCTCCATCCCCCCCATCCCCCCCTGCCACTGTGACAGGGCATTCCCTTTTGTTCTCTCTCTCCTTTTGGGTGTTGTGATCAGCCAAAGAGGCATTGAGTGGCAAACATGTTCAGTCCAGTCTACTTTCAACCTGCATCTCCCCTCCTGGGAGGATCCTCCAAACACCCTCCATTTGGTGCTCCCTTCTCTATCTGAACTGTCCTTTCCCCTAGAATACTATTTATTTATTTTTTTATGGCCTAGTAGAATTCTCTGTGTCAGAGTTTCTTTGTCCATTTATTTGTTCTTTGGCTCTTGGATTGTTTCCAGATTTGGGCTATTGTGAATAGGGCCTCAATGAACATAAAAGTGTAGATGCCTTTTCTGCATTGCGCTTTTGGGCCCTTGGAGTGTGTTCTCAGGAATGGAATTGCTGGGTGTATGGAAACTTAATTGCTAGTTTTTTGAATAGTGACTGTACTGACTTCCAAAAAGGTCGGACCAGTCGGCATTCCCACCAGCAGTGAGTGAGGGTCCCTTTCCCTCCACATCTTCACCAGCACTGGTTATTGTTCTTTTTAATGAGTGCCAGACTTGCTGGTGTTAGGTGGTATCTCATTGTTTAAATTTACTTTACGTTTTTTCATATGCCTCTTGGCTATTTGTGTTTCTTTGAGGAAGTTTCTGTTCATCTTTCCTCAGCGTGTTTTAATAGGGTTGGATGTATTTTTCTTGTAGAGTTCTACCAGTGTTTTATATAGCTTTGATATTAACACTTTATCGGGTTAGTGATTGGCAGATAATTTCCCCTCTGGGCTGTCTTTGTATTCTGGTCGCTGTTTGCTTCTTGATGTGCTGCCATTTGTTTAACATTGCTTCCACTTGTGTGAAATGTCAAGTGACGTTTCATCCTTAAAGATGCCTCTAGCTTCAATGTCATGAAGAGTTCTGCCAATATTTCTATGTAGAAAAATTAAGGAAAGTTTTTATTGATTATGAAATTTCAAAGCAAGTAATTCTTCTGTTTTGCATCACCAAATGCTTTCAAGCTCATACGTAGGATCCTGGAGGACGAGAAAGAGAGGACAGTGGGTTGGGTGCTTGCCTTGAACACAGGTGACCTGTGTTAGTTACTGCATAGGGATCATCTCAGTGCAGAGCCAGGAATGCGTCCTGAGCATTGCAGGGTATGGCCCCCAAACCTATAAACAGCCTCCTCCTACCCCCGAACTTGCAGCCAAAAAATCCAAGTACGTTGCTGAAACTTAATTCCTGTGCTTTGAGCAGAGAGTGTATTGTCTCCTCCTTTTAATTCATTTATTACTTACTTTGTTGTTGTTGTTATTGTTATTGTTGTTTGTTTCTGGGCCACATTTGGTGGTGCTCAGGGCTTTTTCTTGGCTCTGGACTCAGGAATCACTCCTGGCGGTGCTTGGGGGATCATATGGGATGCCAGGGATCAAGTCACGGTCACAGGAGGCAAGCACCTTACCTGCTATACTATCACCCTGGCCCCTTTTTTGTTTCTTTTGTGGGGGTACTGAGGAGGGGTGTACTGAGGAGGGGTTACACCCTAGCCATACTTGAGGACTACTCTTGGAAGTGCTCAGGGGACCATATATTGTGCTGGGAACTGACCCTATGTTGGCCACAAGCGTCACTCACCTGTTCTGTCTCTTAAGCCCTCATTTAAAATTACTTAAAAGGATATTCATGCTCATTAAAAAGAAGCAAACTCGGTCTGTTTCATTTGGGCCTGCTCCTGGCTCTGCTTGGGGGTCATGGCGGTGGTGCTTTGGGGACTGTGTGGAGCTGGTGACTGATTCATATCCCCCATGTGCAAAGCACATTGTCAGTCTGTCACACTATGTATTTGGCTGATGCTAGTGTTTTCCTTCTCTCTCTCCTTCCTTCCTTCCTTCCTTCCTTCCTTCCTTCCTTCCTTCCTTCCTTCCTTCCTCCCTCCCTCCCTCCCTCCCTCCCTCCCTCCCTCCCCCTCCCTCTCTGACTACCAGAAAGATTTTCTTTCAAGTGTATGCCGAACAAAAACATGTTTTTTTCACCCAAAAGAAGAGAGAGAACACAAGGGATTGCCCTGCCACAGAGGCAGGGTGGGATGGGGGCATAGGGGTGGGAGGGATACTGGGATCCATGCTATTCGGATTTACACCGGGCGATGCACAGGGGTTACTCCTGACTCATGCACTCAGGAATTACTCCTGGAGGTTCTCAGGGATCCTGGAAATAGAACCCAGGTCAGCTGTGTGCAAGGCAAACGCCTTACCCGCTGTGCTATCACTCCAGCCCCACTTTTCTAAACTTTTCTTTTTTAAAATCTAAATTATTTTTACCTTCACCTATGAATTTTATTTTTGTCAGGAAAAAGCAACTAAGGTGAGATAAAACTTACCTTAGACTTCAGCATTTTGCTTCCTTTTTAATAGCACACTCAAAATATTCCTAGACTAATTTAATCAGGAAGCTAACTAAAAACCACTGGCTTGGAGGACCTGCTGGTGACAGATTTGTTTTTTATTGTCAGTGTTTCTAGTTTTAAAGTTAGCAGTGCATATTTTCTTTATGTGTAGCACTAGCTCTGGTCCTCCCGGTGTTCATCGATTTGCTTGAGCGGACCCAGTAACATCTCTGTTGTGAGACTTGTTGTTACTGCGTTTGGCATATCGAGTACGTCACAGGGAGCTTGCCAGGCTTTGCCGTGCAGGCGAGCTACTCTCGGTAGCTTGCCGGTCTCTCTGAGAAGGATGGAGGAATCGAACCTGGCTCTGCGGTGTGTAGTTGATGGGATTAGATGGATAAATCGATTTTATATCTTGGTGTTATGTATTTTATTTGTAATTGGTTTTAATTTTTTAATTTTTTTTTTGATGTGTGAGGGCAGGGTGGGAAGCCAACTGAACTCATGGTTCATACTTGATTAGAATGCTCGTGTTTTAATGCATAATTTCTATGCAATGAACATGTCAAAATGTAAAAGTGCTATCATTTGTTTTACTGGTCTTTTTAACCCTTTTTATTTTTTTTAATTGTTCCTTTCTTCAGAGACCAAGAAACGTCAGTGTAAGGTTCTGTTTGAGTACATTCCACAAAATGAGGATGAACTGGAGTTGAAAGTGGGAGATATTATTGATATTAATGAAGAGGTAAGGAAAATAATTAAAAAATAAATGTATTACAGGTAAAGCAGCAATTGATCAGATGTTAGTAAATTCTTTATAATTTATGTTAACTTTTGTCAGTTTCATATTTTTTTAATGAAAAAGGTTGAGGGTAGAGACTTACAGAGTTCTTAAATAATAATTTATGGTGGTCTTACCTGGAGAACTAAAACTTGATGTTCCCTACCATACCTATGTGCTGTATTTGCATGTGTTGCCTTTAGGGCAGAAATCTTTTTGATGTAAAACTTGTCATCTATGTAGCTAAGGATGAAGATAAGGCTTTTGCTTACTTATTTTTTGGTTTTGGGTCACAAATAGCTGTGCTCAGGGCTTACACTTGGTGCGGTGCTCAGGTATCAGTCCTGGTGGGGCTTAGAGGCCATATGTGGTGCAGGTGATTAAACCAGGGTCTGTTGGGTGTCGGGCAGACTATAGCTCTGGCTCCTAAGTAAGACTTTAAAAAGAAAAATCTGAACTTCTTTTAGGTACAGAGCAGTAAAATAGTAGCAAAGGGATACAGAATCTTTTAGAAAGTTTTAGTCTTGTTTGAATATTATATTCGTATACTAATCGAGCACAAAAATATATTTCATTATTTTATTTGTATATTTTATCAATATTTATTATTTATATATTTTAATAATAATAATTATTATTTAGGGCTGTTCCACGCTTTGTTCCAAGTACTCTGGAATTATTTCTGGTTCTGCACTCAGTGATCATTCCTGATTCCTGGTGGTGCTTGGAGGACCATATGGGGTGCCTGGGATAGTACTTGATTGGTCTGGGCAAGCGCCCAATCTGTTACATTGTCACCCCAGCCCTCAACACAAATAATACATTTTGTATCTGCATTAAAGGAATTTTATGACCTTATTGTCAGATATCTCATTTTCACAGTGGTTTTCACAAAATTTTCACAAAATTCAAATTTGTTATATTGTATCATGTAATTTGCCACTTAAATTTATGTTAACTTACAGCGTGTTTATACAGAATTCAGGTTTGTTTTATTGCCACCCGGTGGCAATAATGAGTGCTAACACTTTTAAACATTATAATTATTCTTCTTTATTTTTGAAGTAATACGTATTTCACATTATTTCCTTTAGATTTCTAAACATTGGGATTTTTTTTTTTTCTTTTTGGGTCACACCTGGCTCTGCACTCAGGAATTATTCCTGGCGCTGCTCAGGGAACCATATGAAGTGCCAGTGATCGAACCCAGGTTGGCTGTGTGCAAGGCAAACGCTGTGCTATCGCTCCGGCCCCAACATGGGAATTTTTATTCCCATTTTTCCATACACAAAAATTGAATTACATGAGATACGAGATTGCAGTTGTTGCATAACATGCCACCCCAAACTTAGTGGCAAAGAACAGTTGTTTTATTGTTTGTTCATTTCATAGCTAAGAATTCAAATAGGACAGAGCTGGAATGGCTTATCTCTGTTCTGTCAGGTCTGAGGGCTGTAGCTGAAAAGATTAAAACGAATTGCTGGTGGAATCCTACGAAGGCTTCTTCGTTGCCACATTTTCCCAAAAGACTGGAAACTGGGACTGCCTCTGCAGCCTTTCTATAGCTTCTCTGTTTGACTTTATTTCTTACTGTTTAGGATCTCAGAGGTCTTGGAATTGTACTGCACAGGGACAGGGGTAAGCCCTGAGCACAGCTGGGTATTGCCCAAAAATTAAAAGAGAAAAAAATAAATGATCTACTCCTTTCTCTAAATCTATCTATTAACACTTGAGTTAATAGATGACTTATATCCCACTTGATTACATGGCTTTGTTTGGAAATGTAGCAGAGTGCTTTCAATAAATGGCTAATCCCATATATGGCTTTTAATTCCTTTAGATTTATTTAAAATATTTTCTCCGGTATGTTTCTTACAGATTTAGATAGATTATTCATTCACTTTATTAGGTACATTTTCAGATGGGTTGCTTTCACTTTAGAGACATTTTTACTGATTTTGAGTCGTGAACTCTTTCAGGTAGAAGAAGGCTGGTGGAATGGAACCCTGAACAACAAGGTGGGATTATTTCCCTCAAATTTTGTGAAGGAAATAGAGGTAACAGATGATGGTGAAGCTCATGAAGCCCCGGAGGATTCAGGTAGACTATAGAAAAATATTTAAATAAGCGTTAGTGTTTATTTTGTATTTCCTAATACTCTGTTCCTATTTTGAAGTGTGAGTTTCAGTTTATCTAGTTTTAAAAAGCAGGTTTTTTTTGGAGTGATAGTATAACAGGTAAGGGTCTCTTGTACGTGGGCAACCCTGATTCCATCCCAGACACCACAATTGGTCCTCTGAGCCCACCAGGAGTGGTCCCTGAGTGCGGGACACTGCTGGCTGTGGCTTCCCCAAAATTAAAAGGTAGCTTTTGACAGGACTTAAAAGTGAATTAATAAGCAAATTGAATGTTTTTCTTTCTCGTGTCTATGTCAATCCTAAACTTTCAGAACTTTCAGAGTTTTGAAATTAAAAATTTAATTTTCATATTTACATACTATATTTTGTTTTCTTCATGTAGCTAGAATGCCATTTAAACAAGTCTCACAATGGTGATACGTCACTGGTGCCCACTTGAGCAAACAATGAGTAACGGGGAGGACAGGACAGACAGTGACAGTGTGTCATTCAGAGACTCAATAGTAAATTCATCATTCAAAAACATGAATCAAATTTTATCACAACGTTTGATTCACATATTTTGTTGTTTTATGCATTGTGACCATCCCCAGTTGTGCTTAGAGCTTACTTCTGGCTGGCTTTGTGTTCAGATCACTCCTGGCAGAGTTGAGGGGCCACATTTAGTGCCAGGACTCAACCTTGGTTGGTTGTGTGCAAGCATCACCTTACCCGGGGTACTAGCTCTCATTCCTTAGATTCACATTAGTTTTTCTTTTATGAAATGTGGAATTTTGAGTTACTTTAAAAGAGTAATTAAATTCATAAGTATTAATTCAAGGATAAGTATACCTCCTTATGGAAAAATTGAGGCTATTCAGGGATTTGTGCTTGGATTAGCTAGTATTGATAACTTCATAGATGTTAGATACATAGACATTGAGGGGAAAATGCATATTCAGAATTACTGGTTTCACCCTTTTTATTTTTCAACGAAATACCACATTTCATGTAGCTTATAAACAGGTCATTTCTCACTTGTTTTGAAGAACTAGTTATGTTTGCTTCCTTTTAGCAATACTTGCATTACTTTGAAATTCAGTAGGAAAGCCGTATTAAGGTTGTTATGTGTAGACAGTGCGCTCATAAGCCTCAATATTGTTCATGGTAAGAGAGGGAAAAAAATAAAATAATTTCAAGTTTAACAAATGGTAGTATTAAACCGAACTGATAGTGTCTAGAAGTTCTTGTTGAGATTACTCCCAAAGTTATGTGTAGTTTTTGTTCTACTTTTAAGATTGAGAATCTACTGAACTTGTATCTTTTCATAATCATGACTTATTTGCATATGATTGGTTTTTGTTGTCCTGCCCATTTTGTTGTCTTTCCTCACTTCCATTTAATACTAAGCTGGGAGAAGAAAGAAAGTGGAAAGGAGATGGAGAAAAAGAGGGCATGACCAGAGAACAGACCAGAACAGCTTTGTGTGGGTTTAGATAGAAACTATCATAGACTGACCAGTCATTAGTTATTTTGTAGAATATGTCTACATGGCTTTTTCTTTTGATTGGGTTCAGTTCATGTATTATCACATTGAATCAGGAGGCATAGAATACCTTGTGTAGTTTTAATATGGGCGGTATCTATCGATCACCAGGTTAAAGCTGTGGTGCCAGTGTAAGTTTACTTTTATTTATCTTCTAAATTTTTTATTAGTGAATCACTGTGGACTTGGGCCCTGGGGGCTAACTGTCTCCCCGTCTCTCTCCCCCCCCCCCCCCCCCCCCCCGTGCGCCTGGAGCTCTGATAGGTCACTCCACTCGCCCCCACACCACCCGGCCTCACCTCTGCCCTGTAGAATGTTCTTCAACGGCCTGGTAGGGTGTTGCTGGCATTGCTTATTTATTTATTTACTTATTTATTTTGCTTTTTGGTTCCCACCTGGCTATGCTCAGGGCTGACTCCTGGCTCTGCACGCTGGAATCACCTATGGGATGCCGGGGATGAACCTGGGTCAGCCACGTGTAAGGCAAATGCCCGCCCTGCTGTGCTATTGCCCCGGCCCCTGTGTTGCTTATTGATGTGACCGTTTTTCCCTTTAGCAGTTTCGTTGTTGTTGCTTGTGTTGTGGGGACGCTAATCGGCTGAATGTCTTGCTTCTACACACTCACTTCCATCTGCAGCTGAAGCCCACTCCCCCTTCCAGTTCTCCTACTAGGAGAGCAAGTTTATTTATTTATTTATTTATTGGAATATTTGGGGCTAGAGCGATAGCCCAGTGGGTGGGGTATTTGCCTTGCACACAGTCGACCCAGGTTTGATACCTCCATCCCTCTCGGAGAGCCCAGCAAGCTAATAAGAGTATCCCGCCCGCGTGGCAGAGCCTGGCAAGCTCCCCATGGCGTATTCAATATGCCAAAACCGGTAACAAGGCTCACAAAGGAGACGTTACTGGTGCTTGCTCGAGCAAATCGATGAACAATGGGAGGATTGTGCTACATTGCTACAGGATCATCATGAGGTACAGATTTACATATTTTCGTGCTTGTGTTGCAGTAGTACAATGCTCGAGTACCCATCCCTCCACCTGTGTCCATTCTCCACCACCAATGATTCCGGTAGCCCTCTCACCCCCCCACCCCATACCCCCCACTCCACCCTGCCTCTGTGGCAGGGCATTCCCTTTTGTTCTCTCTCTCGTTTTGGGTGTTGTGGTTTGCAATAGAGGTATTGAATGCCATCGTGTTTGATCTATCGTCTACTTTCAGCACGCATCTACCATCCCGAGCAGGTCCTCCAACCACACTTTACTTGGTGTTCCTTTATCTGAGATGCCTTTTCCCTCAGTATGTGAGACCGGCTTCCAGAAGCCTTGGAGCAAACCTCCTTGTACTGATCGCTAATATTCTTGGGTGTTAGTCTTCCATTCTGTTACTTTATATTCCACAGATGAATGCAATCTTTTAATGTCTGTCTGTTCCTCTCTTTCTGACTCATTTCACTTAGTATGATACTTTCCATGTTTATCCACTTATATGTAAAGTTCATGACTTGATTTTTTGTATCAGCTGCATAGTATTCCATTGTGTAGGTGTACCAAAGTTTCTTTAACCAGTCATCTGTTCTCGGGCACTCAGCTTTTTTTTTTTTTTTTTAAAGTTCTTAAAATTTAATAAAACTTACAAGTCACATAATTCCATTTTCTTCTTTTTTTTTTTCTTTTTTTATTAGTGAAAAACCATGAGGTACAGTTACAGGCTTACAAATTTTGTGCTTGGGTTTCAGTTATACAATGATCAAGTGCCCATCCCTCCACCAGTGCCCGTCATCCATCCCCATGGGTCCCAGTTCAGCTTTTTTCCAGATTCTGGCTATTGTAAACAGTGCTGCAAGGAACGTACAAGTGCAGATGTTATTTTGACTATACTTTTTTTGCCACTCCGGGATATATTCCCAGAAGTGGTATTGCTGGGTCAAATAGGAGCTCAATTTCTAATTTTTTGAGAATCGTCCATGCTGTTTTCCAAAAGGGCTGAACCAGTCTGCATTCCCACCAGCAGTGAAGGAGGGTCCCTTTCTCGCCACATCTGCGCTAACACCGGTTGCTTTTATTCTTTTGGATGTGGGCCAGTCTCTTTGGTGTGAGACGATATCTCATTGTTGTTTTGATCTGAATCTCCCTGATGATTAGTGATGTAGAGCATTTTCTCATGTGTCTTTTGGCCATTCATGTATTTCTTCCTTGAGATAGTTTCTGTTGCTTTCTTCACCCCATTTTCTGATGAGATTGGATGTTTTCTTTTATACTTATTATTGATAAAAATGTTCAAGACTGTGTTTCAATAGAGAAGGAACCAATATGACAATGATAGTTGGAAATGATCACTCTTGGACAAGAACTGAGTGTTGAAAAGTACATAAAGGGGTATACATGATAACCTTTCAGTATCTGTATTGCAAACCATAATGGCCAAAGAGGTGGAAGGGAGTTGAGGGGGGGGAGGGAGAGGAGGGGACAGGAGGACAGGGAAATGGAAGGGAGGGGAGGGAGAAGGGGAGAGATTGGTGGTGGGAAATGCACACTGGTTGAGGGACAGGACAGGTGTTGGAACACTGTATGACTGAAACTCAATTATGAACAACTTTGTAACTGTATTTCACTGTGAATCAATAAAAAAAATTAACGATTAGGAAAAAAGAAGGAAGCAAGCTGAAAAATATTCTATGCTCCATCAAATTTTCACTCAGTTGTTTTTACATCAATGGATAAAATTTGCTTGCGTCACTTAATTACTAAACGATAGTTACTAAATGATGTTTATCTGACTCTGTTTTTCATCTGTTAATTATTTGACTTTATTTTTTGAAGAACTTTTCTATCATACAGTTTCTTAGTTTGTGTGGACTCCTCAGTGAATTTTGTCTTATTTTATTCTATTCACTGGTTTTACCTATTGCTATCATTATTTTGATTCTGTCTTGTTTGGCGTATGAAGACACTTTCAAAGTAGTTCTTGTGACTTAAAGTCAACCTTATTGGAAATATAATTGTGTGTGTTTTTTTTTTTTTTTTTTTTTTTTTGCTTTTTGGGTCACACCCGGGAATGCTCAGGCGTTCCTCCTGGCTTTGCACTCAGGAATTATTCCTGGTGATGCTTGGGGGACCGTATGAGATGCCCGGGATTGAACCCGGGTTGGCCGCGTGCAAGGCAAACGTCCTACCCACTCTGCTATCACTGCAGCCCCTGGAAATACAATTGGTTTTTATAATAAACGGTTTATAAAAACATGAGTTTGACAGATGTATAAATCCATGTAACCCACTACTATAATATATGTAAAAATTCTAGTAAATTTCTATCCCAACGTCTTTCCACTGCATTTTCATCACAACAGAATAGTCTTATGTTCTCTTGTCTATCTTTTTTCTGACTCTGGACAATCATAGATGTGCTTTTTTGTCATTATGACTCATTACTGTCT